ACAGCATGATTTATCATTAAAAAACAAGTTCAACATCCTATACTTTTATACTATATTTTCCGTACTATACATGAAAATGTACCATAATAAATATCAGTGTTAACATAACATATAACTAAATAATAACATATTGATCGAAGACACTAGAATAATAGTATACAAGTCGACCCCCTATAACACTGTTGATTGTTCCGTTTTATACGAATTCCATGTTGTACGAGTCACTTTGATTTTACAAATACGTGTGCCGGGCCGTAAACAACTCATGTATTTGTAAAATTAAAATGACTCGTACAACATGGAATTCATATAAAACGGAATAATCAACAGTGTTATAGGGGGATCGACTTGTACAATGCTTTAGTAACACTATATCAATATGCCTAGGTATATGTTGGAATGGCACTGTACCCAGACATATGTTGGAATGAGACTATACAAACACCCACATTTTAATCAAAACAATTTTATTAAAACACACGCTCAGGTGTTTAATTAAGATACTATTTTCTATAATACTTTGTAAGTAATTTTATTTTTACAAATCCCATGTCTAGAAATGAAAATATGCCAACAAATTCCAACTATTTGATTTTACTCAATAAATAAATCAATAACAATTCTTATCATTCCTAATATTCGAATTTAAATAACGTTAACAGATTGGTTAAATATTAAGTAACCCATAGAAACCAGATTTAAAGTAGAATTTTTGCGATAGAAGACGTAAAAAAAATCTGTAACGATATGGGAAGATAAATATTCTAATTTCCTAAAGCTTCTTTTCGACGATAAGATGATTTGTCACGTGACACCTGGTTGTCGCGTTTACTTGATGGTGGCCATGTCAGATTTTGAGAAATAGCCGAAATCTGCGACATTCGGAGAGGAAGAGAGGGAAAGGAAAAGACGAAAACGAATAAGGTTATCCTCCTCCATCCAGAAATTTCGTATAATATAAGTCGTTAATCTTTCAAATGATTTATTTGAAGAATCACACCTTAGGCATCGAAGTTAGAGAAGAGCATTGCACTGAAGTTTAATATCACTTCTCGAATGTATCTTAATAGATTTATCAGTTCTTATAATAATTTCGAGAGTCCTCCAAAGTCAAAATTTTGTTTAGAAAGCTAAATAGATTCAGCATATTTACGTTTAGTTTCGTGAAGTAAGTGCATCTTCTTCTTCTTCTTTCTTTCCGTACACGGGTTCATATGAAAGTAAGTGCTTCTTCTTCTTTCTTTCTGTACACGGGTTCATGTGGAAGTAAGTGCATTTTCTTCTTTCTTTCTGTACACTGACTCATATGGAAGTAAATGCATCTTCTTCTTCTTCTTCTTTCTTTCTTTCTGTACACGGGCTCATATGGAAGTAAGTGCATCTTCTTCTTCTTCTTTCTTTCTGTACACGGGTTCATGTGAAAGTAAGTGCGTCTTCTTCTTCTTTCTTTCGGTACACGGGCTCATATAAGGAAGTAAGTGCATTTCATAGAGTATAATGTTTAAAACTTAGTGCAGTGCAATAAAGTAAGTGCATCCCCTAGTCTATAATGTTTAAAGCGTAGTGCAGTGAAGTAAAGTAAGTGCATCTATTAAGGTACAGATTTGAAAGTTTAATGCAGTAAAGCCAAATAACTACAGTTCAATAACTTAAGTATACCTTTAGCTAGTAGAAGTGCTCTTTAGTGAAAAGTAAGTGCATTTGTTAAGCTCTTATTTCTTCTAGATCGAGAACTATGTTACTTCATTCAAGAATATCGTAAATAAAACGTGAGAAAGTAAAAAATTCCAGCAAATTCCTGTAAAAATTGATAATCTATAACGTGACATATGAGGCATGGATGAAATTTAAAAACGTCGCGTGTTAAATTTCGACAGCATCCAACTTCTGGAATCATTTACTGGATACCATACTCAATCATCACTTCTCTTTTTGAATTATATGTATTAAATATAATAATTTTGAGGGCAAGAAATGAATTATACAACTGAAAATGTCATAAATGAGACGTATCGTTGAACGTTATATACACAAACTCGATACTTCTATAATGAAATTTCAACGTGTTAAGCTCAGTAAATAATAAATTTGCTCAGTAATCCGATTTAGCAAAGTGTTAAAATGTTATAAACTAGTTAAATTAGCATTATTAATTACGTTTAAAATGTTTAATGGGCACATATAATTACTACTTAAGTTATGTTACTAATAACGCAATGATTGATTAGAAAATGAGACAACGAGGAAGAAAATACGGAATTTTACTTTACAAAATGTGCTTTGTAAAGGGCACATTAAAGGAAATTTCATATAAAAAAATCCTGCAATGAGTTGTGTAACTTTCCCGGCAAGTGTTAAAATTGTTTGTGGCGCCATCTGTTATGCGATCGTATTTAAAACTTTTTACATTATTAATTATTATAAAAAGCTTAATTTTGAAGATAGAGATGAGTTTTATAAGCAATTGTAAATGCTAATAACGAGTAAAATCATTACAATTATTCCAACCCCACTGGAGTTACGACACGTAACTCCCTTTATCTCTCTAACCCTTTGACCTTTAACCTCCAAAATTAAACAGCCCTAACTCCCCTAATACCCAAACCTCCTATAAAAATTTCAGAAATTTTCAACAAAAGACACAGGAGTTATTAAGCTTCAAAGAGGGAGAAGAAAATCGTGCCCCCCACAACACTATACAGAAAAAAACCCCAAATGTTTTGAATTTCTGGACGTTTGAAGGTCACCCGAGTCCAAAAATGTAAAAATATTGAAAAGGGGGCATCATTTTTTGATCGATCTCCATTACTTTCCTTCTGTTATATATATAACAGAGGGAAAGTAAAACGGGAAGTAAATGTATTCAGAGAAGGAGAGATAGACAATAGTTATCAGAAGAAAGGAACAACCTCCGACCATTAATGGAGAGTAATATGTAGGGAGGAAGAAGCTGACTGTACAACTTAAGCTAAAAGAATCTAAATGTTCTAGTTTTGCTAACAACTTACTCATTTGTGATCGTTTTCTCTGTGTCTTTCTCTAAAATCGATACAAATCTCACTAAACAGAAGAGTAAATACCATTTAGATTTTTAGTCTTTGGAACTACTTAGAAAGAAAAGTTCTTCAGCAATTAGTGCAGACTTACTGTACAGACAGATACACACACACACACACACACACACACGTATACATTTTTTTTTCCTTTAGATAATCTGTTTCTTTCACGGCACAAACTTTTCTTAAATTAGATAATTTGAAGTTTAGTCGAGAGTTTAAACTAATTTAACTCGATACTAGTTCAATTACTTTATAATCAATTTACTTTAACCCGTTGCAGAAGTATTTATCCTCAGATACTGCAATGCTGTTCAGTATCCTGTTGAACACGAAGCTGTTCAACGTTAAATTCAATTAGTACGAAGCTAGAATTGCACGCAATGAACCACATACGTACTGAACTGTGTTTAGTCTGAATGTACAGTACAATACTTCCAAGTTCAGTGTAGTGTTCAGTGTATGCAGTACCTCAATTAAACTGAACACTAACTGAATTAAATTACACAACTAAACTACTGTAAATAGTTTATTCTATGTAATTTAATTCAGTATGCACATACGTACAGTACGTAAATCGGCGTGTATGTAAGTTGTAGTTCAGCACGCACATAGTTCATGTATATGTTCAGTATGCACATAACTCATTGTATATATAGTTTAGTAAGCAAATAGCTGATCGTATAAGTAGTTCAATATGTAGTTCAGTGTATATCCATTACATCGAAAGTATTAAACACATACTGAACTATGTTCAAGTGCTTTTAAACTTTCTGTAGAAGTTTAATTTACTGATAACATAATACGGCTGACTTCTGTGTTGAATTTAAAGGCTGTTTTTTTATTCAGTAACTCGCTTCAATATCCTTGATTTTGATATCGATCGGAAGTTACTTTAGTAGATTTGAATGCATTATCAAATGGAATGAACGTAATATAATATTAATTATTGTAATTGTGTAACAATTAGTTTAATATTGTTCAATATGATATTTGCTTTAATAAATAATGTGCTTCGTTTACTTTAAAAATACTTAAATATTTATTTTTTTTTTTAATATTTTGATGAACGTGCAGGCCACGTTTAACTGAATACTTTTAATTTGATTTCGGGTTTAATTAAGAATCAATACTTGAGTGTGATTTAAGTTTAAAGGTTTTTTTATATTATTTATCGCTTGGTTAATTTTACTTTAATAATGTATAGTGGTCAATAATGTATGTATGCCACGTTATCTTAGGCAATGCTCATTTAGAATGCATAAAAATTCAGAGCATCATCTTGAGTAGATGATGCTCTGAATGGAGAACATCACCTCAAACAGATGTAAAGAGAGAAAGCATCACCTCAAACAGATGCAAAGAAGAAGGAAAGCATCACCTCAAACAGATGCAAAGAAGAGGGAAAGCATCACCTCAAACAGATGCAAAGAAGAGGAGAGCATCACCTCAAACAGATGCAAAGAAGATGAGAGCATCACCTCAAACAGATGCAAAGAAGAGGGAAAGCATCACCTCAAACAGATGCAAAGAAGAGGAGAGCATCACCTCAAACAGATGCAAAGAAGAGGGAAAGCATCACCTCAAACAGATGCAAAGAAGAGAGAAAGCATCACCTCAAACAGATGCAAAGAAGAGGGAAAGCACCACCTCAAACAGATGCAAAGAAGAGGAGAGCATCACCTCAAACAGATGCAAAGAAGAGGGAAAGCATCATCTCAAACAGATGCAAAGAAGAGGGAAAGCATCACCTCAAACAGATGCAAAGAAGAGAGAAAGCATCACCTCAAACAGATGCAAGATGACCAGCATCTTTCTCTGCATCTATTCAGATATTACTTCTGTTCTGTATCGATCCGACGTACATACACTCAAATTATTCTTCTAAATAAAAGTCTAACCATTCATATAATAGAAATATTTCACTCGAAAACTTTTTTACAGGTTGTTTAAGCTGCGAATGAAACAGGATTCAAGCGTGTTTGCATCGGATGCAGTTTTCGAATCGACAAGAAAAGGGAAGTTCCGCTACGATATGTCAAAAGTTCTGAAAGGTCATTTAGAAGGTGAGTAAAATTGATAGAAATTCCCCTCTACCTCTATTCTACCCATCCGATAACTCCATCAAAATTATCCATCATGTGATCCAATTATCTAATTTAACAAATTATTTATGAATCGGATTATAAAGCGCACCCCTCTTTTTTTATAACGTGCAAATAAGAAAATTTATCTAATTTTTGTGGAAAAACGTATGCATAAAAGTTTGATTAGATCGATTTTCCGTTCGATTCGCTAAAACTTCTCATAAGGAACGATTTAGTTAAGACAGTTTGTCTGTCCGTAGCTTCGTTTAATTGTAAATTATTTGTTAATTCGTGTGGCGTGAATGCTGCTGTGAGTAACAATGAAATGCATAAAATTAACAATAACAATAATAGAACATTTGAATTTTCTTACAAATAATACCGAGCTGCAATTTTTAATCATCTTTTAATTTAAAAATATCACGTAAAAATCGAGACCGGATATGAAAATTTTAGTAAAAAGAGGCCCCGATTAAGTATAGCCTGTTTTGATTTTCATTTATTTAACGGCCTTCTAGAGATTAATGGAGGACAGACGGACAGACGTACGACAGTGGGAATGTATAAAACTGAAAACTGAAAACTGCAGCCAAAAAAAATCTAGCTGTGATTTTATGTGAATTTTTATTACTGATTGCCACGTGGTATGAATTATGTAAATTTCCACGTGGTTAAGCGCGCGATTATTGGCACAAAAAAAAAAAGATTTAAATGCATATCAAGTGGAAATAATACTATTTACTTCACGAAATAACACAAAAATAAGCAGTTTTCTTAATATAAATTGCCAAATTTTCACACGTATAGACAGACATACAGTACATACAGACACACGCACGTACAGACAGGTGTTAATAATTCCGTAATAAGAAACGTGTTAAATGTGATTAACAATACAAGAATTTCGTACAGATATAGGTTAAAATAAACGTACAGACACACATACGTACAAGAAACGTGCGTTTCAAGAAGAGGGAATCGCCATATCGATTGTTTTTTTTCAACGTGAAATCCTAAAGAAAATCCTTTAACAATTCTCAGACGTTACTTCTTAACAGCACTTTTTGTATTGTTCGACCGAAACAAATTAAACTTACGTTAACACAGATGCATTAATTTATCATTTCTATGGATAAAAATGGCGGAATGTACTTCTTTATTGATAAGAATCAAGTGAAGTACACTCCACTTTCCTTCTCTATTTTGTTAATACAATAACATGTTGAATTATACGAAAGCCCAAGGGGGAAGTTAATGCTACTTGAGCTTATCTGATTGTTTATTTCCTTTGTTTGTATCGAAAATTCCACTTCATTTCGTTGGGCTGTTGGAAGAAAATGTTCATTTATCCTTTAATTTATTTTTGCTCCGATAAATTACATATATTTTTTTATGTTTAAGGTCAAGAAAATGCCATCTTCGATTACTTTCCTTCAGGAGGAAGAAAGGGAAAAAAAAGCAATCAAAATTGTAAAAGGTCCGTTGAGTGTAAATAGCCAATCTTCTGTTTGACTTTAAGTCTTCTTTAGAGGGGTGCACTTTATTTGATTATTCAATATTTAGATTTAAGTGTTTCCTTGCTTATCTTTTCCTCAAATTTTCTCGAAACCTCATCGATTTTTCCACAACTTCTCCATTTTTTTCCCCTTCTTCTTCTTCTTTTTCTGCACTTTTATGGGATTATATCTTTGTATATGGTTCCATTTCGATAATAAATAACATTTTCTAACAAATTTTTTCTTGATAAAACGATGAAGAATTAATTTTTTACCTCTTTACAACGTTAATTTTCTCCTTTTTAACTATCAAATTCATTACATAAACAGGTATCTTAATGGTTTGTAAATAACAGCTGCTTATGTGATATAAAATATACAGTAAATCATTCAGTATACCTTCGTTCAAAAGCATTAATGTTAATATAGAAGGGTTATAATATAGAAGGAAGTAGGCACTCTCGAGAAAAATCGCTTGCATCTTGGAGCATCATCAAAGAAGTCTTGGAGCACCATCGATAGAATCTTGATGTATCAGCAGTGGAATATTGGTGCATCAACAGTGGAATATTGATGCATCAACAGTGGAATCTTGGTACATCAGCAGTGGTATCTTGGTGCATCAGCAATGGAATATTGGTGCATCAACAGTGGAATATTGGTGCATCAGCAGTGGAATCTTGGTGCATCAGCAATTAAATCTTGGTGCATCAGCAATGGAATCTTGGTGCATCAGCAGTAAAATCTTAAAGCATCTGTGTGATTTTTTTACAGAATCAGGCATGATAAAATACCCTAATTTTTCAATATCTTATAGAGGAAAATCAGATTAAAGACTTCAGAAACTAAGAAATGTTCCATTAAATGCATTATAAGAAAGCTAAAATATTTTAAAAGATTAATTAGCAGCATAATTGGGAAAGCAGATAATTAATATTATACCCTTTCACATTTTTAAATTCAAATAATCACTTTACTAATCTCTCAAGAGCTGAAAAAAGAGAATCAAGATGTGTATTTACTTACAATTTCATCATGTGTATATTATCATTAAGAGAGTGTAAACACTTAAAGAAAGATTAGAACATTAGTGCTGCGACGAATGCAATATAAATGGTTCTTGCTATCATTTCTCCAAAAGTAATCGATAAGAAACGTTCCATTTCTACAGTTTACGATTGACTTCGATACAAAAGTAACTGTGCAAGATGTATGCTCGAGTGTTTGTGACGTCTTTGTTTCGGATTTACCATCTTATACATGATTTATATACACTATTTATAATGTCAGTGGATTTCCTTTTTTTTATAAGCGAGATATATTTTTATTTATTTGAGGAACGAAATAGTATTTTTCTTAAGAATTCTTCGACTCGGTTATTTCAATTTTCTCATTATTGTAAGAAAGAACATTCGTCATTGTAGTAAGAAAGTCCTTACGGCTCAGTGTATCCTCAGTGTAATAAGAAAATTCCTCGCAAATTTTCTTTGTAACAGTAAGAAACTACTAGGAATAAAATCATTCAGTTACTAAGAACAAAATACTTACTGTAACAAGAACGTTCCTCACAAAATTTTCCTCATTTCAGTAAGTATCTGCCAACTATCAACAAAATCCTCACTGTACTAAGAAGATTCCTTGTAAATTTTCCTCATTTATGTAAAAAATCTCCGTTACAACGAATCTCCATTACAGTAAGAAAGTTCTCTATAATGTTCCTCACAAATTTACCTCATTTCGGTAAGAATCTGCCATAATACAGTGAAATCCTCGCTTTAATAAGAAATTTCTTATATTGTCCTCCTTCCAGTAAGGAAGTTTTCATTGCAACGAGGAGGAATTTACTGATTACCGAATAGTTTACAAGATAATTACAGTTTGCTGTTAATTCGTGTATAAATTCAGCTGTGTTAATTAATTATTCCGTGTAAATGCAACAAGTGTAGGTGGTTAATACGTCATTCTATAACCTCCCTACAACCTTATTAAACATTTATTGAAAGTCTGAAGATAGAAAATTCAATAGCTCTTCTTTTCTTATAGCATTTTGCATTCTGTGGAAGGGTGGGAAGGGAAAGAAAAAAAATGCAACTGTAATGAAACGCAATTTCCTTTCTTCCAATTTCCTCTCAGGAAATCTGATAAAAGCACAGAGAGAAAAAACAGGGGGGAAGAAAAGAATTACTGCTGACTGTCAATTGTCACTCGAGTTGTGTTTACTACCATGGCAATTCATTCTTATCTGTAAATCAACTTTCGCAAAAGTACAGTAAATGGAGAAAGCGTGAAAGATAACAAGACCCGATTAAAACATCCGGGCGTGGTGAGAATTACACGTGTAATTCCTCAAATCTTAGATGACCATCGTCAGAATTGATTAGAAGAATTATCTCTTCGAATCTATCGAATGGTTATTGCTAAAAATTAAGTTTGTTGGAGAACATTTTGCAAAGTCGTACCTTAATTTGGAGCATGCAATATGCCATGATGGCTGTCTCATCCGTGCGAACGTGCAATAGAGGGAGCGCAGAGGAAGGAAGCGATAAAAGTTTTTACTACTTTGCTCGTGAAAACTCCTCAGATGAGTGCGCTGCTCCCTTTGCAACCCCTAAATCCTCCGTTGCAAACACGTAATGGAAGATTTAGAGGGATTCGCATCTTCACTTGTTTATACTTTAAAACAATGTTAAATAAAATGCTTGAATCATTTCGTGGATTTCTTTTTTTTTTTTTCTGTTTCCCTACTGATTCGATTAGGGTGCTTCAGGAAACGGGTACACACCTTCAACGAGGGTGCGAATCTACAGAGTATTGAAGATGTAAACTATCCACTTTACGCGTGAAGTGGTTTAAAAACTTTTAATTCCTTCTTCATTCTTAATTTGCAGATGATGAAGACTCGATAGTGGAAGGTGTCCTGACATCGGAAGGCTTATTTGATGGTGTCATTCACACAGCCTACGACGACTTTTACATCGAGCCGTCTGCCAGATACTTTCTACAACCACGTGACTTCCATTCCGTCATTTATAAACATTCCGACGTCATGTACAGAGCGTTGAACAGCACATGTTTTTCGCATTTACAACACACGTCATCATCATATCGCAGAGATTATTTACAAAGTGCTTTTTCTACATCGGGTTTTTCAAATGTCTATTTTCACAGCGAGCACTCAATAGATAGTGTAAATAAGTCTAAAGGAAAGTGGAGAACGAGAAAAAGGAGAAACATTGAAGACAACACCATTTATTGGAGGGATGTCGACGAGATGCACTATAAAGACTACGACAAATACGGTGATTCGGAACCGTACGGGGTTCGTTCTGTGCAAAGGACTCACTGGACCGAAGATCGATCAGACAGACACGTTGTGATCGATCCTAGGAAAACTACATGCATGTTGTACCTACAAGCTGACCATCTGTTCTATCAGAAAATGGGGAGCGAGGAAGCTTGCATAGAGACCATGACCAGGCACGTTCAGAAAGTAAACAGCATCTACAGAGCCACAGGTAAGCATTAACCATCGATTAAAACACCCCCTCCTAAAAAAAAGTATACTAAACAAAGCTGCATTAATAATGTTCCCTCTAATTTTCGCATTACAAATTCTATAAATTTAATTAAATTTTTAATTAAAATATAATTTAAAATCTTATGCCATCAACAATATTCTTAATTAGAATTAAATTGCTCGGATTCTATAAATATAAATGTTTAGAATGGATGCAGATGATTAGGGGAGAGAAGAAAAAGAAAAAAAAATAAGTGAAAATTTATAAAATTGCCTTCACGCAAATCTTATTTACTTGACTCCATGCTACTTTAACCAAAAGAATAGATTTTTATATAATCCCATTTAGAAAATTCTCCAGATTTCTGAATAAATCTGTGCATGATTTGCTTCAATTTCTGCCTTTTTTCTCCCCCTCCTCGCTGCATGCCTTTCTCTTCCTTCAATCCCCCCATCCTGCCTGCCTTTAATACCAACTTCTTCGGTAAGAAAAATATAATATATATCAAGTGAAAGGTTCCTTTTTGAAATTAAGTATTCAAGTCGAAAAAATATCATTCTTAATAAATAATGGAAATTTCGGAAGTGATATCAAATTACAACAACATCGATTGAAGAATTACAACTATCCAGAGGAGAGAATTTATCCTCCCCCTCCCCTATTTCTTTTTCTTGCTTAAGTTAAGCGGGGGGGGAAAGGCCCTTAGGTGTATTATTTAAAGGGATTTTTTAAGGGAAATTTCGCTCCTATCGATTTTTCTGATTAGTTTTCTTGCAGAGTGAGGTTAAATGGGATTTTCCTGTCAGGGGTGTCGATTTTTATAAAATAAATTTATTTATAAAAATATAATTGAGAGTTCGAATTTTAAATCTGTAATCTTTTTTTTTTCGTATTGTAAAGTTATTTTTAATGCTTTCCTTAACGGTAAAAGTGTAAATTTCTTGCTTGGAACTCAGCTTTCTAATTCCTCATTTGAAAATGTACGCCACAGTTCGCAACGTGTAGGAACCAGATCACAAGGATTTGGTCAATGCACCTTCACTATGGGACCAACTGTTTACGATTCTTATGGTCTTTGCCAAATTTGTATGTTTTTAAAGGATGTAGGATCGTACGATTAATGGGATAAGGAAACACTTGGGCGATCCTCCAAGAAAGGTGCCACCCAGGAGGACTTTCTATGGGAAATTGGCTCCTATTTAGGTGTTAGACACGTGAAAACACGGAAAATTCTAGCTTGTTGGAGAGGAAAGAACCCGTCACCAACTGATAGACTTAATAAAACCTATAAATTGTTATTTATTTTCATAAAAATTAATTTTTTTAATGGTGAACACGCTTAAAAGTTCATCCTAAGTTGTACTTTTCCCTTTTGATAGTTTCTAATCTTCCAAAACAGGTGTATGATCTCTCACAAAACTATGAAAATACTGTAAAACGATGCATATAATTCCAGATAAATGTATGCAAGTGATGTTTAAGCTACACAATGGCTCGTAAAATATACAAATAATACAGTAATGATGCTTGTAATCTCTTACAATAAGTATGCAAGTGATGAAGAAGAATACATAACCAATTATAAAGGTATGCTGATGATGAAAAAGAGGTGTATAATAACGAATTTACATAAAACGAATGATGGAGAATATAAATTTCATTTCTTTCATACTAAATTAATGGCAACAATTAAACTAGTTTCAAATTATTCATGCAAAGGAGAATGTGTTTTAAATGAGAGCAATTAAAGCAAAAATTATCTTTCACTTTGCTACGACCAGTGCTGATGACAGAATCATTTGTTACGTATTCAGGCGGATCGTGCCATCTGTTGTCTTAACCGTCCACCCATTTAAATAGTTAAATTCGTTTATAACGCGTCGTTATATCGAGGTTTTTTTTAAAATCAAAAACTGTATTAAAGTCTTCACTTTTCGATCCCAATACCTGAAAAGCAAACTCCTACTTAACAGTAAAACTCCTCACCGCATTCGTTACAACGAGGTTTATTTTTTTATTTTACGAACTTAAGACCTCGATATAAAAGATTAAAAATATTTGCAGGATCGATTATTATTTTCCCCTCCTTTCTTTTTAATTTTTAAGTGAAATTTTACGTGGCACTCGAATTGGTGGTCCTCATTTAACCTTTTTTTATGGCGTTATAGCGAGGTTTTCAGGATAACAGCATACAAAGAGGTATGAAGATCTTTGTAGATTTTCATATAAAAGGCCTGCCAGTGGCCTTTGATTTCTGTTGTATTAAAGATACATCAATTTTTCTTTCTCTCGTGTTCAATGTCGATTTCTTATAGATAAAAATGGTAAAAATCGCCTTGAACGTTACTACTGATGCATGTTTTTTTTTTTTTCCTGTGTTTGTACTTTCTCAGTTGTCTTTCTTTATTATTTTACTTACACCTTTGCTTACTTTCTATGCCAGCACCCAATACATCCCATTTACTTTCTATACCTCCATCCAATAATTCCAATTTACCTCCATACCCCGGACAATTTTTCACTTTTTATGCTCCTTTCTAACCCATTTATCTTTTATCCTCCACTCAATTTTTCACATTTATACTTTCTCTTGCCAATTCGGCTTCTGGATCCCCACCTAATTTTTCACTTTTATACCCACTCTCTATCAATTTAGCTCCCACTCTTTCTCTTTCTTCTCTTATAATTTAACTTTATCCCTGCCTCCGCCCAATTTTTTACATTATGCACCTGGTTTCCTTCTAAATAAATTTAAAACTAAGTCTTGCTTCCTTTGCTTTTATTATCCGAAACATCAGTTTCTGGTCGTAGAACTAGTTAGTGTTCAATTCTCCACACTGAATTTCAATATGTGAAGCACTTAACATCATGCAAAACAGGAAATTAATCATTGGAAAATTTAAAAAATAACAATATGAAGCATAGGAGCTATAAGCAAGATAAAGCGTAGGAGTTCAACAGTATTAGACATAGGAGCATAAGATGGGGCACAGGAGCATAGAAGCTTAGCAAAGTGGGGTGTTTGGTTGTTTCGTTTGTTATAAATTTAAAAATAAAATAAAAATCTTTTAAGTTTATATATAAATATTTATATTTTTCTAATTGGTTTGAAGGATTACTCTGTGTTCACCATCGTGAACACAGAGTAAGTTGAACAGTACAGAAACTTAATAGAACACTTGCATTAAGTTGAACAGTACAGAACACTATTTATTAAAGAAACAACTATCGAACACTCAATTGAACACTATACGAACAGTATTTCTCAGATATAAAATAACCAATCGAACAGTATTTCTCAAAGGAACAAGTGTGAAACACTCAATTGAACAGTATAGAGCAGTATTTCTCAAAGGAACAAGAATGAAACACTCAAATGAACAGTATAGAACAGTATTTCTCAAAGGAACAAGTATGAAACACTCAATTGAACAGTATAGAGCAGTATTTCTCAAAGGAACAAGTATGAAACACTCAATTGAACAGTATATAACAGTATTTCTCAACTATGGATATTCAATTGAACAGTATTTCTCAAAGGAATAAATACAGTACACTCAATTGAACAGTATTTCTTAAAGTAACTAACACGAAACACTGAAAGTTATACGATAACATTTCTCAAGTAATTTGGGACAAGACCGAGAGAAAGTAAATACCGAGAAGAGGGGGAGGAAATCACAATACAATTCTTTCCTCCCTAAAACGGCAATAATAATCGAATAATCGTAAATGTTTAAACGATACTCGCAGGATTATAAACATTACAAGATTCTACGTTTGCCATTATTAGACGACTGGAACATATTAAGGTCAGCACTTACCGTTGACCATTATCTTTATCTGACGTCATAATCGAGATGGAAATTAGTAATTAAATGCACTTTTACGACGGTAGTTAATTATACGGCTGCGACTGTAATAAAGGAAATCGTTGCACATTCGCTTATTTGCCAAATTAGATTAAGTTGTTATTACAATATTTCGGCTACGACTTAATACGGGATTTTAATAAAGTATTTTTTTTTAAATTGGGGGAAGAAGGAGGGCTTGTGTTAAACATCGTTTTCTTCTGTTTACGCGATTTAAACGTAGAAAACTCGCCTTATAATAAGATATCCCAGAGTAAGAACAAGGGAAACTGTAGAAGAGAGAGGAGGGTTCGAGTTGAACACGATTTTCTGTTGTATAAATGGTCATTTTGGGCAGTTTTAAATGTAGAAAATACGCGTTATAATACAACATCCGAGTGAAAGAACACAGAAGAGGGGGGAAGGTTCGAATTGAACACGATTTTCTTCTGTTTAAACGATTACCCAGAGCTCATTTATACATAGAAAACTTCTGTTATAATAAGACATCCTAGTGAAAGAACACAGAAGAGGAGTTAAAGGTGATTTTCTTTCGTATAAATGATCAATTCGGCTATCTTTAAACGTACAAAACTCGCATTATAATAAGAAACCCGAGTGAAAGAACAGAGAAAATTACAGAAGAAGGGGGTGAGTTCGAGTTAAACACGATTTCCTTTCGTATAAATGATCATCTGGAGCATTTTTTAAACTTAGAAAACTGGCGTTATAATAAAGTATCCGAACGAAAGAACAAGGAAAATTACAGAGGAGTAGGAAAGACGATTCGGATTAAGTGACTTCGATGTGGTAATTCGTAGAAGTGCAAGCAATTAAGACGTCACCGAAAGATTGATCTATTTGCCATTAGCGAAAGAAGAAAACGGATAGAGTTGAAGGACGTTGACAAAATAGCTGTGCTAAGTAGTCAAATTTCTATACGGGTCAAGCCCAATAAAACACACAAGCAAAAACCAGATTAGTTAATTGTAATTAATATTTAATTCCTCTATCGATTAAATCAAATTTAATTGATATTTACGTCTTTCAAATTCTGGAGTATTTCCTTTTGTCGTAAGCCGTGAAAGGGAGGGAAAATGCGCTCTCTCCTATCGAATTTTATTATTATTTTTTTATTTTTTCCTT